TTATGAGCAAATGACAAGAAGGCGTTGGATTTTGATGTTCAAAAATGGCAATATAAATGCACATCAGAAAGAGCAGCAAAGAAATAAAAAGGGAATGGAGAGAGCAGAAGAGAGATATAGAGACGGGGGGACATCAAAAGCCCCTCTCAAGCCGTTCAAAGTTGCTCTGAGATTGGGGAACAAGGGGTTTATAACAGCCCCAACATTAAAGAGTCCATTTAAAAAAAACTAGACATTGAAATGCAGAAAGCCTGCTCATGTGTGGACTCAGGGTCAAGTAACGGAGGGATTATATGGTTCTTCATAATAATATTAATTAAACAATTTACATGCTAATAAGGTAACAATTATCGGAGCTTCTGGTGAAAGATTTAGGTTATTACAACACGCGAATCCCAGGGCTACAGGGTCACGGGGAGAACAGCAGAGAGAAATCTCAGCTCAAATTAACATTCTGTCAGCTCCAGAAATTGGATAAATAAAGTCGAATTAATTCACAGTAATGGAAGAGAGAGGGGGGAGGCACTTATTCAACCAGCTCTGATTACCATTCAGTATTCACCAGCACGCGGGTGGCTCTCTGTCAAGAAATTTAACACAAAATGAAGCAGTCACCGCCTCGGGCAAGATTTGGCCCCTGCGACACCGTTTACAATTTATATGTATAATCTCCCTCCCTCCCTCCCTCCATCTCCCCCTCCCTCCCCCCCCCCCCCCCCATTTTTCCCCCCAAAGATGTCCACCTGGACACTCAGTTGCTCCTGGCCTCTGCTATGATTGTGAATTTTGTGAACCTTTCATTTTCCAACGCACACTTCAATTCGAGCACCATTTCCCCTGCATTAGACAAGACCCTCAACTCAATAGGATAACTTCACATTTTAATTGGAGTAATCATTTTTTTACTTCACACCCAGACAGACACCCTTTTGCTCAACATTTCAACATGTTGTATTCAGTTTGCATCAAATGTCTTTGTTTGTGATTGCAAAAATAAATGCATTGTTTAAAATAAAATGTTAGCTGAAAGAGAACCAACAAAAATGTATATTTTCATTACATGGAATAACTTAAAGAGGCCATATTATGCTTTCTTGGGGTTCCCCTTTCCTGTAGTGTGTTATATAGGTTTTAGTGCATGTAAATGGTCTGCAAAGGCTAAAATCCCAAAGTTCCCTAAAGAGGGAGTTTCTCTCCCACACACTCCCCCCCCCCCTATTTGTTGTATTATGAACAGTTAATTATATCAGTATGGTTTGTCTAAAGGTTTTTCAGCAGGTGTTTATTTATAAAAATGATAAGAAGTATTCTATCCAGTGATACTGTCTCTTTATTAACAATAAAGTATACTCTAACTTGAATTGGATTAGTGATTTAAGTTTCCTACAAGAATGTCCAAGATTGATGCAAAAGTAAAAAAGGCATTACCCCTGAAATTGTTATTACATAGCTTCTTAAAAAAACCTACAGAAACTCAGTGTCTTTGGGTTTTCCCATCCTGAGGGCGCAAAGATGTTTGGACCCGGGATCAAATTATTCAACACTATCTTTAAAAGGTCTTTCAAATTGGCCCTGCTTGCTATAGGCGAGATTTTTGTGTCCTTTCTCAGAGATTATTATGCCAGATACTTTTTTATTAGAGTGTCTATTTTGGGAGTCAGAGCAGGCAAAGAGAAAGAGAGAAAGAAGTCTAATTTCATGCTTGTTCTGCTCGGTATGACCAACGCCCTGCACACGCTGACTGCTGGTTGAAAGACTTCCTAAACTGCACATGGTGGAGCAATATAATGGAGGTTGACTTTATACCACCAGGGCACACTAACTCCATTAGCAGTATTTGTGTTTTTCTATTGCCATTTGTTAGCCACTGTGCCATTTAAGGCTTTGTGTCCATTGTGTGGAGGGTGTTATACAAAAGGAGATCATTATTCAAAGAAGAGGTACAAAACAAACCTGAGTTCAGATGTCGTTAACCTCAAGTGCCACTGATAGTGGTGGAAAACTGAGGAAATGATCAGCTTAGTAACCAAATAGCAACCCCATCATGTACATGACAGAAAGAGAACCTGTTTTTACTGTTTTTGCTGTATTATCTGTCCTATATGTCCAATTGTATGGAGTATATGTATTGTATGACATCCATGTTTGATACAGTATTGAGTGTAAGCGGTAAGTGCACTCAAGTAATTAAACCTCATCATTTTCATTTGAATCAAGTCCAAGAGAGCTTGTGATTTAAACAGGTATTTGGAATGGAAATAAGACGTTTTTTCTGGTCTGCAACAAGCCTTTGTGACTTTGAGATGTTATATTTGAAAACCTTTAACTGTAGTCCAAGTTGTTTTTATGTATTAATTGTGTTTAAGTACAGTTATTTAAAAAAAAAAAAGGCCTTTTTAAGGTGCAGACTGAATGCCAAGCATGCAGTAATGGTGTGAATCTCAGTATGTGCCAATATAATATCAATATTGCCACAATTATAGTATATGTGAACAGTCATCATCTCTCTATAAGATTTAACACCAGGGCAAACATTATCTGGATAAATTACTTTGCTTATTTTTGTGTCGTTTTTTTGTGTAAAAGACACATAACAAACCTTTAACTACCTGATTGAATGTAAAAAATGGATTCAATAAAGCGGCTGCAGGTTGAATCCTATATCAATTGCCAAAATCAATAATATAATGTGTAGCATAGTAAAAAAAAAAAAGGTATTTATCAACATGAAAAATGAATACTGTTTATTAGGGTTTAAAAAGTGCACTGCTCTATACTGTCATCGATTGGTGGAAGAAGAGGCCAATGACTTTAACGTGGAGGACAGAATTTAGTGGAGCAATTAACTGGGTATCCATTTATTTTGAGTTTCTCTTATAGCTAACCAAGTTTAAAAGGTGTTTATTAACCTTAGAAAGACAGGAGATGACAAAACAATCTTCCCTCAAGATGCATAGTAGCTATATATTGTCAATATCTTTGATCATATTTGTAGCATGTACACAGGTTTGAAAGCTAATGTACTTGCAGGATTCTTGCTTTTTAGTTTGTTTCTTTGTTGCTTATTGAGCTTACTGTAACACTCTTTGGATATCAGCTAAAGAAATGTGATGCAATGTGAGATCACATATTCTTCATCAGCATATGGAGTTTGCCCAGTTGCCATGTGATTTGAATTAAAGCTTCAGAAAAGCTAGCATACCTTGATGTGATGTTGTTCTGCCAATTACATGATCATAAATTATCATAATCAGTATCCAGCGTAAAATTGAATAGCTTCTAAATGTTAATGTAATGCTTACAAAAAAGGTGTATTGTCATTTGTCTTATGTTTGTTTGCAATTGTGCTGCAATTTCAATATCAGGCTGATATGATGAACGCTTCTTAGATTGCTCTTGTTTCATTTTTGATCATCTTGTTTGACGAAATCAGCAAAAAGGCTGTAGTTGCAAATGGTTCATGCACAAATGGTGAACTCAAACGTACAAAACGAGCCTGTTAATAAACTCATGCAAAAATAAATGGCATTTAAAACCTGTCCTGTAACGATGCATGCAGGTATTGGATTCTGGGAAACGTCACATCATGTTGCTACAAACCACTTTGTTCGTCATTAACAACTAAACTGTGTGAGCTGCTCAGGTGAAAAATCCAGATAATGATACGTGTGTGTGTGTGTGTGTGTGTGTGTGTGTGTGTGTGTGTGTGTGTGTGTGTGTGTGTGTGTGTGTGTGTGTGTGTGTGTGTGTGTGTGTGTGTGTGTGTGTGTGTGTGTGTGTGTGTGTGTGTGTGTGTGTGTGTGTGTGTGTGTGTGTGTGTGTGTGTGTGTGTGTGTGTGTGTGTGTGTGTGTTTCTGGGAGATGGAGAGAGGCTTGTAGTCTAAAATGCAATGTGACAGCTCAGGAAAAAGGGGGGGGATGATAAAGGCGATGTTATTGGATCAATCTGGCCCTGAATGCCCCTGTAAAACACTTACACACACACTCAAAAACACACACGCACACACTATGCGGGAGCGCAACTGCACGCATGAGTAAGAAAAGAGAAATGGAGAAGGAAAGATTAATTTACCTAAAGTCTAACCCTGCTGTCTTGTTCGGGTCAAATCTGACCAATTTAGTTTCATCAATCATAATAAATATAGTGTTTTACATTTGATTGCCTCAACGCCTTATGATATCCACAGTAGAATATACAATTGCTGCTTTCAATGCATTTTGAGTGGTTTAGTTAACTTTGTAACACCCACAAATCCACAAAACGTTAATTTTGGAAAACATTTTCAGTGTCTATTCTTCGTATATTTACTGCAGCTATTCACAGTTATTACATTGTTTAAAGCTTAAAAGGGTGTTAAATAAAATGTGGTGATGTCTAATGTTTTTTGTGTTAAAGTAAGAGCAGTTCAAACAGACCGGGAACACCAAAGTAAGGAGGGAGAAACTAACACGACAGGAGGGTTACAAAAAAACATGTTTCCTTAAACAGGCTTTAAATAAACGTGATATCCATGAGAAATAATGGAGTGAGCTTATCAATCACGCGACAATGTCCACGCGCCTCATTGTTTTGACAGGGCTGAATTAAAGGACTACGCCAGGTGTAATTAGCCATCGATCCGGGAATAAGAAAAAAAAAAACCTCTCTCTCTTTTCCTCTTTATTCCTCGTGCTCTGCCTTCTCTCCATTAACCGCGCCTCTGACGTCACGGGGCGATTAGCGTTTCTTATTGGAGAGAAAGGAGCAGGGTTGACATCTCTCGGCTGGACCGTAAACGTGAAACAGCTCCTGCTCACACACACTAAAATCCCGGTCTCACACACACTAACATCTCGGTGTCTGCACACACACTAACATCCCGGTCTCTGCACACACACTTTATATCCCGGTCCCTGAACACACCGTGCCGTGGCTGCAGGAAAACGGTCCTTCTTTCCCTCCTCTTCCTCCTCTTCCTCACTTTCTTCTGACTGCATGTTCAGCCACACTGCCTCCCCTCCTCTCCGCGTCTTCACTTCGGCATGGACAGCCGGGTACTCGAGCATCCTCACGCCCAGTTCGGAGGCTCCTTGGGCGGATTGGTGGGCTTCCCGTACTCGCTCGGTGCCCATCACCACCACCACCATCACTCCCTGTACGAGCTCGCGGGGGGACACCAGCTGCACTCTGCGGCCGCCAACCCCTTCTCTATAGACGGATTACTGAACGGATCCTGCTCGGCCTCGGTGGTCAACAACCCGCTGCTGTCGCCCGACGGAGGGCAGTTCAAACTCTCAGGTAGGCCTGGCTCTTTTTGTCCCGTCTCGTATTATTAGTAAAAGTAGACCCATGTGGAAACAAAGCAAGGCAATATAAAGTGGGTGAATGTAAAAGGTCTGTTTTAAGAATCTGAATTCCTTTATATTTCCCACAGAGGGGGAATTTACATAGAAAGTAAAGATAGAAAAATAAAACGCTATTAGATAAAAGGCACGCTCATGATATTTTAAATAAAGGCGAAATAAGTCAGATTTGTGCAGACCGTAAAGGCTAAATTAAACATGTGTTAGGCTTTGAGCAAAGCTGTTTGAACTGGAGTCAGTCTGTAGACAATTATGTTGTTTCAAAGTTTTAGAGCTTGGTGATTTAGAAAATATTAATTGTTTTAAGTTTATGTCCAAGCTCATTTGTATGTGCAAGCTCTATGCCTGGCTCTTTTTTATCTCATGTGTTATAGATGTGGAAACAATGCAATGTAATATAAAATGAAACTGGCCTGTTTTAAGGCGAAATAAGTCAGTGTTTTGTTGAATTTAAATGCTAAATTAAACATTGTTTAGGCTCCGATGAAAGCTTTAAGAACTACAAAGTCAGCCTCTAAAGGCAATCAGGTTGTTTCAAAGTTTTGAAGCTTGGTGATTTAAAAATTAATAATTAAAAAGTTTATGTGCAAGCTCAATATATTTGTTCAATAACTTGACTGCACTGGGGGTTACAATAAAGGCAACGATTTATAATTCAACTCGTAAAATTCTAATTGGCTGCAGATTCTTTAATACGTCAAACTTAATTTTGCAATTATGTGAAATGTGTTTAAATATAACAAATTAAAGTGTCTTAGCTTTGGGCCTTGCATTTGTAGCACTGATTTATTAGAGTCAAAAGAATCACTCAACATATGTTTATAAGAGTCTACCGCCTTACAACAAAATGATGCAAGCCATGATCAGTCCCCTCAAGCTTCCTAGGCTTACATCTCTCTACTTCCGCCTCTGCTCTCTTCTCTCCATCTCTCTCTCTCTCTCTCTACTCTCTCTCTCGGTCCTCGTCTCGCTTCTATGCTCTCTCTCTCTCTCTCTCTCTCTTCTCTCTCTCTCTCTCTCTCTCTCTCTCTCTCTCTCTCTCTCTCTCTCTCTCCCACACACACACATAAATAAACACACACTTGTACAAACACACACTCACCTCGACCCCTGCAGATTCTGGGGACCCGGATAAGGACAGTCCAGGTTGTAAACGGAGACGAACGAGGACAAATTTCACGGGGTGGCAGCTGGAGGAGCTCGAGAAGGCTTTCAACGAGAGTCATTACCCGGATGTGTTCATGCGGGAGGCGCTCGCGCTCAGGCTGGACCTCGTGGAGTCTAGGGTTCAGGTAAATAATAAATTAATCAAATATGTTGAAGAGAATTTTTTTTTTTTTTTTTGAAAGATGGAGGAAAAAAATAGTTTGGAGTTATTGTTAAAATTGCAGTATAACTTCCGTGTTAAAAATATGCATAACATGTCATATATAAAATGTCAGAGGGACGTTTGTTTAATGAAGGCCTACCCCCTACTGAGATAGCTATTTGTCAATTACGAAGGCATCAATACAGGGTCACTTTTGAATTATGCATGGAGGCAACCTATTGATTTATGGGTTAATAAAAACAAGGCTATTTACTGAGCAACCCAAGGGGTGAACATGGTATTGTTTTTTTACCTTATATTCTATATTTATTCATTTAACAGTTTATTTACAATGTTACCCTTGTTTTTAATCTATTTTTGCACATTTAGGTATTTCAATTTAACAGATTAGGCTAATTTAAGATAAATCCATTATTTTCTTTTTATCATTATTATCATTTTTATTTCTTTTCATTATCAATAAATGCAAAATACAGTGAAAGTAAAAGCACGATTGGGCTATTGTGTAGTGATAGAAATATTAACAATATTTAAAAAAGAATAACAGCTGGTGATAATCATAATAACTCATGATAATAATTAGCATTGCAATATACCAATAATGAATTACAAAAAAGCATGATAATGATAATTACCATTAACAATATATATTAGTTGAATATATGTCTTTGATCAATTATTTTAGAGCAAGAAAATACAGATACTTTAATAAAAAGTTATACCCATCTTTCACATTTCAGAATTAGATGTCCATTTATTTAGTTTAATAATAATAATTGTAATAAAATAAAATATTATTATATCAGAAAGACATAGGTTTTTCAAGTAGGCCTATTATTTGGTAAGCATGTATGGGATATGATATATAGGCTACTTAATTTAACATATTCTCATGTATTTCTAAATGATCCACATATATTCGCTTGCACGCCTGTCTCTTGTGAAAGCGGTACAGAGCAGCTCTCGGTTGCAGTGTGTGTGTTGTTTGGGGATTTCGCTCCTAAACCTCAGATTATTGTTCCCTCAAGCTGCTTAGCGCTCCTTTATCACCAGGTTTGCGGGGGAAAGATATAACCAACATTAACAATTCATAAGAAGCGCCATTGTCACACATGATGTTGGTGTGTCCCCGTCCTTATTATGCAATGATCGCGGATTCTGCATGCTAAACTCCCGGCGTTATCAGCTCCGAACACGCGGCCCTGAGCGCACCCAGAGGCCGGGCAGGGAGCCTCTGAGGCGGGGGAAGCTGCCTCTGTTGGCCCGCTGCGGAGGGAGGAGAGCCGGGGGTTGTAAAGCCCAATGAGCGGAGGTGCTGGAACATCAGTGGTGGAAAAAGCATTCAGATTCTTGAGTAAAAGTAGCCTACTAATACCAACAAAAAAACAACCCTAAATGTCAAGTAAAGTAGCCTACTGCATCGAGAATGGTACTTAAGTAAAAGTATTTAAGTTCGAATAGGAAATTGTACTCAAAGTATTGGGAGTAAAAGTACTCATTGCTTAAAATATTTTAATATCTTTTTTTTTTTTCAAAGCTAGAGCACCAAATCTTGACATTTAAGAAAATAAGAAATATTTTGCTTCCAATTAATTAACTAACTCATGGTTTTAGTTACTTGGATATAATGGGTGATGGTTTAATCTAACCAAATAATCATAATTAGAAAAGCTTTTCCTGTGTTAAAATCTGAGTTAATAAAGTAATTAAATACATCTTTAAAATAAATATGGTGGAGAAAAAAGTAGTAGAATAGAAGTATAAAATGAACTTGAAAGTACAAGACTTGAAACGTTGACTTTTAAATAAGTGTATTATGTCAACAAATTACACATAACTGTATAAGGTTAGTTGAAAGCAATACAAACATTTTCAACTTAATATTATTGCTTTTAACCAACCTAATACAGTTATGTGAAATCTGTTGAAATTACACATTTAATTAAAGTCAACGGTTCAGTTTTTTTCAGTGTACCTCAAATGTGTACTTAAGTACAATGCTTGAGTAAATGTACTTAGTTACTTTCCCGCACTGGCGAACATACAGAGACGGCTGATTTAGCTACGGTACAATTAAATGTAATTGGCAGGGTTTCCCATTACAGCCTCACTGGTAATTAACGGCGGCACATCTGTGCATCTGCTGGTCCTCCGCTGTGACCTATTAACCTAATGTACGCTTTAGAGCTGCAGTAAACCAAGAAACACATGCAGAATGGACACTGATTTCACTTGGTTTCAGGGCTTTGTGGAATATGTTTTGGATTTGGAGGCAATATGCTTTTGTGCTTAGCATCTGATAACCACTCTGACACTGATTTATCACTCCAGCATGGCAGGTGTGAGGTCTGTTGTTGTCACACCAGAAGGGACATTTTCTGTGAGGCCTACTTCACTGATTTATTCTCTTGAAGGATATAAAATATAAGGAACACTTTTATCCAAAAAACATTAACGCAAATACTCAAGATCCTCAAAAATGACCACCAATTTTAATCAAATAATTTCCAAAAATGAACATTAAAGTGCCTTTATATGGGAAGTGTTTATTGCAGGGATATTGGACTTAATTTCATCGTAGAGCTGTTAACTAGCCTAAACTAAATCAGTGCCCTGCTTAATAACACATGTTTAATCATTGTCCCAATGAATCAATTATGTTAATTGGCAATTAACTCAACCATTGCTTTTATGATTATTTAGTCTGTAAAATTCCCCAGAGATCAAGGTAATGTCTTCAATTAGCCTTTTCTTCTCCAACCAACTCTCCAAAGCAGAAATATATTTGACTTACTTATAAACATTGGAAAATTAGCTGAAAATAAATCTAATCAGGAAAGCTAAAGGGACCTTCCTAAGTAAGTGACTTAATAATTAATTGATTACGGAAGTTCTTGACACTTAATTATCTGGATTGATCCATTAATCAACTAATTTCAGAACTTGTTCCAACAGAACTACTAAAACAAATATGAATATTCTGAACCAATTTATGACATAAATGTTTTTAGATTGGTTGAAAGCAATACTATAAAGTTTGAATACAAACTATAAGGTTCAAGTTAATATTATTGCTTTCAACTAACCTTATACAATTATGTGCAATACATTTAATTGAAGTCAACGTTTCAGTGTTTCTTGTGTGCGAAATATCCACCTTCGTGTGTTTTTTGTGTGTGTGTGGGTGTGTGTGTGTGTGTGTGTGTGTGTGGTGTGTGTGTGTGTGTGTGTGTGTGTGTGTGTGTGTGTGTGTGTGTGTGTGTGTGTGTGTGTGTGTGTGTGTGTGTGTGTGTGTGTGTGTGTGTGTGTGTGTGTGTGTGTGTGTGTGTGTGTGTGTGTGTCAGTTGGGTTCAAAAACCGATGTGCTAAATGGAACCAAATGGCTAAAGCAAATCTGAATATTCTCAACCATGACCGTAGTGTTTGTCAGATGATGACATAAGGAACTACTTCCAAACCAATATCATACCATGTGCCAAATTTCCACCAATGTTTATTTCATGTGTGTGTGTTTGTGTGCATGGGTTTGGGTCCAAAACCAACGTGCAAAACCAAATTGAGAAAAAAGTGGAAAGAAATCTAATCAGAGAAGCTAAAACAAGCATTTAGGTCTAAACCAGGACTAATCCCTCCATCAACTCATTTCAGAACTAACTGAACCAATTTACAAACCTTAGTGTTTGACAGATGTTGATTGACCTTAGGAACTACTTCCAAACAAAAATCCTCTCATGTGCCGAGTTTCCACCTTTGTGTTTATTCATATGTGTGTGTTTGTGTGCACAGGTTTGGTTCCAAAACCGCCGAGCTAAATGGAGAAAGAAGGAGAACACAAAGAAGGGTCCGGGTCGGCCTGCTCACAACTCCCACCCCACCACCTGCAGCGGCGAGCCCATGGACCCCGAGGAGATCCAGCGCCGGGACCGAGAGCGAGCCGAGAAGAAGAAGAGGAAGCAGGAGAGGAAGCTGCTGAAGTCGCAGAACAAACTCCTGTCCGGGGACAGCTTCCACACGCCGGGGGGCTCGGAGAGCGACAGCGGGGTCTCCCAGTTCACCGACAGCGAGCAGCAGTGTCCGAGCGTCAGTGGGAGTATTCACCTCGACCTGCCCGCCTCCAAATCTGCAGACCGAGGACACCAAACTGAATCCAGCTGTGACCAAACACGACATGACTTCAGCCCACTACAGAACCACCAAAACCAAAGAACCGCAGGGGAACCGGAGCAGGTTTCTCCGGGCAGCTTCACGCTCAGCTCCAGCCCCGGAGGTCCCAGGTCCTCCGCCCTGCAGAAACGAAACCCTTTCAGCGTGGAGAGCCTCCTTTCCGACGTCACGCCTCGACGGAAACCTCAGCTGGACTTCCCCTCGCTGCCCAGCCAGAGGACTCTCATAGGGAAAGGCCACTTCTTGCTTTACCCAATTACCCATCAGCCCTTGGGTTTTCTGGTGCCCCAAGCAGCCCTGAAGGCCTCGCCGTGTCTGGGACAGATGTTTGTGCCGAGTGAAGGAAGCCCTGACCTCTCCAGCTTTGTCTCTAAGCCTCTGAACTCGGATCATACGGAGCACAACAATCACATTAGCAATAGAGCGGCTGGAGACAGAGGTGACTGCAGCAATGCAAGACTTCCTGTTTCTCCTCCGGCTAAGAGTGAGGCTCAGAGCAGAGACATTAAGGAGGAGAGGAGTTTGACATTTCTCAGCAGCAATGCAAGATTCCCTGTTTCTCCTAACATTGAGGTTCAGGGCAGAGACATTAAGGAGGAGAGGAGTTTGAAGGTTCTCAGCAGCAATGCGAGATTCCCTGTTTCTCCTAACATTGAGGTTCAGGCACGGCTCAGCTCCTCTCCGTGCAGAGACAGTATCGAGGAGAAGAGTTTGACAAATGGCTGCCAAGCTGCCGAGCTGCGTGCCGAAGAGAAGGGTGCGAGCGAGGCGTCCCCAGCCCTCTCTGAACGTCTCAAGGCAAACACAGACTGTCAAGAAACACCCGGAACAGATGGAGAGGATGTCGATATGGACTAACACTTTGCAAGGAGCGCAAACATAAACAAAGGACCAGGAACAACCGCTCAGACTATTCAAACATTCCCAAAGCTCTGCTGAGACACTCGGAAAAAAACATATCAGGAATCAGGAGACCTAATTCTCATCTATTTTTTAATCATAACGTGTGATCAATCCAGATGGCGCCCCTTTTAAGAAGCTAGTGGCTGTCTTCATATTTGTAGGCCTTTAGAAGCAGGTTCTTTCTCTTTTTTTAGTGACCTATTAAAATCTAGGCGACAATAAACATCTCACACACAACGAAAATCCTCAGATATTGTAAAAAAAACGAGATATTTATATGTAAACACTTTTGATAAATAAAGTTATTGTTTAAATTGAATCACTGTTTTTCTAGGAGCATATTGAAAAGGGGGTGGGGGTTGCTGTGTGGCAGAACCTTGGAGTTTTGTCGTGTTACAGCAGATAAACCCTCCTTTTTCTCTGTATAGGAGGCTCAAGTCCGTCTGGCTGTTTGTATTTATTGCTTTAACAAATTTATTCATTTGAAAGGCCGAGCTGGAATGAGGTTAGTGGCTGCGGGCTATAAGGACCCTGCGCCTCCTGCTGAGTTTTGATATGAAAGTAATTATTTTCCCACTGGCTGCCATGGCTCTGGAGGCAGTTTTTTTTTCTTCATCCTCCTCCTCCTCCTCCTCCTTTCAGCCCCAAAGGGTTATTAGACATTACCGATTTCTAGTGATACGGAATCACATAAACTTCCTACAATAATAGAATTAGCATGAAAGGCAGAGGGTGTCAAATTGAAATGGGAAAATAATAGCCGCGCCAGCTGCATCGTGTGTGTGTGTGTGTGTGTGTTTGGGAGTGTGTGTGTGCATATCTATTGAGGGGGAGGAGATGGGGGAGATTCGTGGGGCGGAATTTTCATGAGCTGCCTCGGTTGTCAGACGGCCCTTGTAGTCGGCTATATTAAGATAGATGTTCGATGATATCCCTCATTGTTCTGTCGCTTATATTGATGTTGCTGCGTTATCGCCCTATTGATCATGTGTCGCACATAATAGGACAGGCGCGCGCCCGTCTGCCGTGCGCCTTTTTCCACAAAAGCGCCCGAGCCCCTCGTCATTTGTTCTAATAGGACTGTGAGTCCCTGAGGGGGAGACAGATAAAGATATAGGAGAGGGAGAGGAGGGGAGGCGAGTGGCTTGCATTAATATTTTTATAACCAATTTTTGGCTGAATAAAAGAAAGAGGAAGTGGCTGAATTAAAGATGTTTAGAAGAGACTCCTACATGTTGCAGATGTGTGTTTTTATTCAAGGTATAGAATGAAGAGTGGGAGATTTAGCAACAAACATCATGTGTTTTCCCCATAACCACTTTAAATAAACACACTTAAACACTGTTCCTTAACATTTATTTAATCGTTTATTTGGCAGGGACAATGCACAGTAATGAACACTTAAAACATTCAAATGTGTCAAGCGTGAGTTGAAAGAGGTTGAACTTAGGATGTTTAGAGACATGAGAGGAAACCCCCTTAATTGGCAAGTGTGTTGTTATTCAAGCTTTAAGTGAAAAGTGGGAGATTAAAGTAAATATAAAGGGAATGTTCCTCCAAAGTGAAATCATTCATGCATAGACAAACACTGTTCCTAAATACTAAGTAGTAATTTTCTCTCAAAACAATATCAAAGTTAATTGATTAATGGTGAGTCAGCCAAACTTCACAGGTGTAATGATTTTCTTTAAAGGGAAATTGGCTGAATTGAATATGTTTAAAGACACAAGAAAGAGAATCCTAAATGTGCCGATGTGTGTTTGAAGGTTTGTAATGAAAAGTGAGAGATCTAACAAAAAATGAAGTGGGTTTTCCTTCAAAGTGAAATCATGCATTTCCTCTGGGTCACATCCTCACAAATGACCACCAAATGTAATCAAATGCTTGAAGTGAACATTTAAAGTGTCTTTATATAGAAGTATGGAGTGGATATTCAACTTGATTTCATTAGATTGTAGAGGTGTTCAAGCCTTAAATATTTCTTAAGCCACTTAGACCGTAATCCATTTATTTAAAGATCAGAAACACTAAAAGCTTAAGGGCATTTATAATGGCCAGTTAGCCACACTTAAATAAAGTTGGAAAGTGGCTGAGCTAAAGATGTTTAGAGACATCAGGAGACTAAACTCCTGAATGTGGAGGTGTGTGGTTTTTTTGTTCCAAGGGTGAGAATGAAAAGTGGGAGATTTAATCAATTATGAAGTGAGTTCCCCCCCCCAAAGGGAAATAATGCATTTCACTTAAATCTGAAGCCTCAATCCAAACACTATTTTCAATTAACTGTCAAAACTAAAAAGTTATTAAATAACAATAAGCTAATAGAAGTTTTAGATACAAATAAGTAAAATACTTGAACAGCCAGTCAGGAGAAGAGGACTCTGCTAGTTGTGTTTTTATTTAAGGTTTAGAATTGTGAGATTTAACTCAAATTAAAGTGAGTTTTCCTCCTAAATCATGCATGTATCTTAAGCCACTTAGACCTTAATCCTTTTTATTTATACATCAGAAACACCTAAATCTGTTAAGTTAAGAGAAGTATAAGAGAATCATAATAAGTCAAATATTTATAAAGGGCGGTGGTGGAGAAATCCATATAGGGACTTGGCTTGGCAACTGGAAGGTCACCAGTTCAAGTCCCGGAAAGACCGAGGTGTCCCTGAGCAAGGCACCGTTCCCTACACTGCTCCTAACACTAGGTCAAATGCAGAGAAACCGTTTCGTTACATTGTACCTGTACTACGTAATGACAATGAGTTCAATCTTCTTCAATCATCAACTTGAATGGCCAGTCAGCCAAACGTAAGAGCTGTTATTTCATTTCATTTTCATTTGTATTTGTTCCGCTCATGGTACGCAAAACCCAATGTACAATTGCCAACAAAACATGTCTCTACAAACACACCATTGAGCGAAAAGGAGCAGGGAGAAGAAACAAATCTTATATGACCTGCCCCTTTCTAAAAAGAAAAAGATGGTCTGTCCTTCATATTTCTTTTTCACAGCCAAACTTATTCACAGCCAAACATAACAGTAGATAGGATACAAAGAGAAACTCAAAACATACTTATTTCCCACTTGACCGTTAACGGAAAGAAACAAAGCAACAACAACACCAAAACATCACATGTATAAGGAAAAGGAAGTGCAACACCCTCATCTGAGTCCTACTGGAGAAGTTATGGTTACCTCTACAAAAATAATAATAGTATAAGAAAGGGGCTTACAGTAATTGAGGATGTTTTTAGAAATAATAAGAGACTCCTAAATGTTACAGGTGTGTTTTTCCCCTCAAGGTTTAGAATGAAAAAAGGGAGTTTTCCCACAAAAGTCACTTAGACCTTAAAAAAAAACCTCAGAAACAGATTCATCTTTTCAATTCAATGTTACTAGGCTTTGGATAATCTACTTTCAAATACTTGAATAGCCAGTAAGCAAAACGTTAGAGCTATTATGATATTATGAGACAAATAAATAAGAAATTGGCTGAATTAAGGATGCTTTGGACAGAAGAGGACTCTCCTAAGTGTTTGTGCTCACACGTGCACTGTCTGGTCGTGAACGCGCGTCCGTTTAAGAAAGCGTGTGTTTAGCTCGTGAAGAGTAAACTCCACCAATTCCCTGGAAACTCAAATCCCAATTATTAAAACCATTAATTCTGTCCGTGTTGACAGCCCGGCTAAATATCCCTGATCCCTCCCGGTCACCTCGCCTTTATTTGCAAATAAATTGAGGGGGATCCGAGGGACAGGGCTTTACTGCGCCGACCCAAAATGAATTTCCGTGCCTGAGTCCCTTTAATAATATTTACATAATTTTCGCTCAGTGACTCTGCTATTTGCGCTGTAGGAAGCAGGGGGGGGCTTATAGGAAAATAATTAGACAGGAGCAGGAGGAGGATGGGTTAAAGCAGAACACTAAATTCTCAGACAGCTAAAATCAATGAAAGTAATAACCCTATTATTTAATTCATAAGGACATTATTTTCCCATAAGGCCTCGGGAAACGTCCCCTTCGACCGAAACAATCACATTAAATCCTTCATTCCGCGTGCACTGTGTGAAATTTCTACTTTTATTCTGGCTTTATTATAATCGGTTAGTTTCAAGAGTGCGATTAATTAGAAAAAATGGGTCTGATCTCCCTTCAGCAAGGCTTTTATAATATGTGTGTATGGAGACACAACGAGCTTTTATAATCAGCCTTTGTAGTAGATTAAGGGCGATTTTGCAAATAATGAAATAGCGATGGGATAAAAGGGCTACTATATTTGACTTGAAAACAACTTTGGACATAATAGAATAAGCTTCTATTGTATAAGAGGCAACATATCTGCACTTGGAAGATTCAACCAGAATGTAAAATATCATATTTACTAAGCTTATATTCTCGTATGTTCATTTTGACCTGCCTTTTGATTAAAGGCCTCAGGGAAGTAAAGAGAAAAAAACATGATTCTATATTACTCTAAACTCAATTCAAGAGGTATATCCAAAATATGATAGTGTTATAGTGCAAATAAGCTTAAGAAACATACTTTTATTAAGCCTACATGTAATTCTAGCTGCTCTTAGTATTGTTTTGGCTATGGAGCTGCAGTGTGCATGCCAAAACAACGAGAATCCTAACCTTGTTTTGTCACTTTTGGGATGAAAAAGCAAATGTGTCCATCTTTCAGTGCAAAAATATGAGTCATCTGACTATGATCTTGCAGGCTTTTAGTTTTAAAATGATCTTGATGTTCTCTAAATGGCCCAGAGCTGTCTGACAGAGGTTTCAGGCCCAGTGTGTGTGAGTATATCACGGTTTGTGAGATGCTCTCTTGGCTGCAGGCCCTGCGGATCAAAGCCTGTAAAGCCTGAAGACAAAAGCTGCTAATTTAGCCCGTGTCGGAGCAGAGGAGGTGATGGAGAGCCAGAGAGGGGTGGAGCCGTGGAGGGGGTTATATTATAATAGCTTCTCGAAATTATAATTAATTGTGCAAATTTGTTTCTATTAAATAAAAATAACACGTATTGAAGAACTCAATTAGCGTTAATGAATCCTGCTTCTAAATTGCGTAAGGACGTTATTTCTCTGATGCTCTGGGTTCTTATTCCTCCTCTCTTGGAGGTTAAGGCAGCCATTGGACTCTCCTCTGCTGTTTTTTTTTTCCTTGGCTCCTCTTGAGAGTTGGCAATGGGGGGGATGGAGACGGGGAATGTGGAAGGTGCTAAATTAGCTGGCTGATCCGCGCTCATTGCCGCATACACATCCCCCTATTACTGCGCCCGCGCGCCGCTTAATATTCCGGGCATGGCGGGCTGCGTCTAGATAGCAGATTTATCAAATGGGAAAATGAATGTATGATGATCAGTTAAATTGAAAATCAGCGCCCGGGTGACAGGCCGCTCTGACACCTCGGTAATTAGAAAGAAAAATGATGGCGTCCGAAT